GAAAGACTAATACACTTACAGACAAAATGGACAAACAACCCCCACAACTGGACCATACTGAATCCCCTTTGCCTCACAAGACAGACAAAACACTCCCCTTCTCGTTCCCCAACAGATACCTTACTAGAACACCTACAGACGCAACTCAACTAACGACTTAGCCAAGAATTTTTTTTTGTTTTTTTATTGCTAATTAGTTTATACGAATGTTAGGAATAGGAATTAATTTTAGAATAAGCTAGGCTAAGACACAAATGTACTACACAAGGGCAAAAAGACCGATTGGGCCTTTTGCTGTCGGAAATAAAGAAAACTTTTTCTTGCATTTTAGTTTAATTTTTATGCTTAAGCTTTGCTTAATTTTGAAAGTTTTCCTGAAAGTCTGAACAAGCCTTTACACGCGCGCCTAATTTCCTCTATTATTGATATAACGTGTTTGTTGCATGTTACCCCAAACTAACACTCAGTTTTAATTATTTTTTTAATCCTGCATGTTAAATTTTTTCAATTGTGATATCTTGGGCTTGATCAAATTTATTCAGAAATTAAAAAAGATATCGCAGAAATAATTACAAAATTGTTGCAACTAACCCTAATCAGGCACTTAACTTATTACAGAAGCCATACCGATAAAAATAGCCCTGTGTGCAGTTTAAATGAGCAAAAACTTACTTGGAACGATTTCCCAAACGTGAATGAGCGTTGCTTCCTTGCTCATCATCGATAAATTCCTGGCACATGTAAAAGTGGGTTCTAAAACACAATCAGTAAAATAATATAAAAAATATCGCAAGAATGCCAACCTTTCATCACTTGTTACTATGGTGCCTTGACCGTATAAATCTGCAATCGCTGGCAAACAAGTTACATAGCAATCGAAATCACCTGAATCCAGCAGTCCAATTTGTGTAATCAAGACGAATCTTAAGAATGAGCACGACTCGGCAAGACGAACTAAATCATTGCCGATGGCCACAAAACCATCACTGTTGAATCGGATAAACGTTTCGGAATAGACTATTTTAATGAATTCACTTAAAATATCTTTGTAATATTGGTCCTTTTTAATTTGAAATACATGCTGGTGCAAAATCGCCGCGAAATCAATTAGCAGTTGCGGTGCTTCAGTTAGCCGGAGTAACTTGTGGACGGTTTCGTATAGTTTCGGTAAAACATTATTTGGCTGTGAGTCAAGCAAGTGCTGGAACACTTGAATAGCATTTTGCGTTTCTGAAAGCGACAATTTCCCTTTATTGCATATAAAGTCCAAAGACGCCCTACAAACTTTCCAATCAGTCGATTTAATGACAAATTCATTGGTTGATTTAATTATTGATATCCCAAAGGAATTTTCCATTAACTTCGGTACAATTTCAATATCGTGATGCAAGTGTTTGCTTGCTAAAACTAAAGCCACATACAATTGACTATCGCTAAACAGTTCCGGCCGTTCGAATAAAGCCAAAAATTCCTGCCTGCGGATTTGGTCCTTTGTAAACATTTGAAGAAAAGTGTCTGCAGATTCTTCGTGCAAATGTTGACTGAAATACATAAGCATGAAAAGTGCCACATCCATGCCGAATGTCCGTCCTAATAGTGAAATGTCGTGGTTAATTATCGGCTGAATCTGCAACGACTTGAGCACTGGAGTTCGGTGAAACTCCACGATGGCAAATAACGTGTACATTTTCCGGAAATTAACGTTTCGTATGTTGCATTTTACGATGTCTGCAAGAGCCGACTGAATAACGCTCTCCGATACCGTGGAATAGCAATAAAGCCGTACATAATCTTGGTTTAATGCTACAGAATAAACGAGCTTAAAAACCTTCTCGTAGTCATTTCCATCCCATAAAGCGGCCAACAAAAACTTTACGCATTTATCTCTTATATAGACGTGGGGCAGATTTAAAGCACTGGTCATGATATCTTGGCACAAAGTGGCTGATATTTCCCTTCTGTTATCACCGGTTAAAATGCTCTGAATGGTTTTCCAAAAGCTAACAACGTTCCACGAGATCGTGGTGAACTCTTTTGCAATAATTTCCAAATCCTTGGCCTCTAAGCCTGAACAAAAACCTCCTAAGGTCTGAAACATTTTACACGATAAAGCATTATACTGATTTTTGTTAATTGCCTGAAATACCAATGTGATCATTTCCTGGAGGTCACTTCCAGCAAATGATTGCTTTAAAACGTGAATTGCAATTCGATAGACAATCACCGATTGGGTATGGTGCAGATATATTTTATAAATACACTTTTGCCAAATGAATGGTAGATCGTCTGCATGTTTGAATAGATTTAATGCGGGTTCCACTAAATGCAGTTGCTTCTCCCTGCCGATCTCTATCAAGATGAAAAAGGCTCGCCACGAAATTTCCCTGTTAGGACAGTTGAAACATTTCACCCTGTTAATGCCGGTGGGTGTGTTTGCACATCTAGACAAGATATATGCGCCCTGCTTCTGCAAATGGGACTCGAAACCCGATAGGCAAAATGCTACATATGACCATGTATTACCATTGATGAAGCACGATGCTTCATCGAATAATAATATATCAGAAACAGTGTTTACCAAAGCACACAAAATGTCTAAATTGCAATTTTCACGGCCGAATTGAAACACTTGGTTAATGCAATCAATTTGCTGCCGTTGAGGAAAAAGGGCAAAAGACGAAATTAGTGTTTTATATGATTCGGCTTTGCAATCAACATTTTTCAACGCCGATAGCAAAAAGTTGCACACGAATTCAGGCTTTAAATTTTCGAAAAGGATCTCGGTTGTTTGCTCTTTGGAAAAATACGAAAATAATAATTTGAGAAGCTTGATTATAATGCATTGGTTTTTCACATTAGATTGACTGTTTTCAATATAATTCGCAGCGGCTCTAAGTAGTGGTAAAGTATTGTCGCAAACCTGAAACGCTTTGCCTAGAACTTCCAATACTAGATCGAATTCAGATGCTTGCTCAGTGAATAGAAAACTGAAATCACACCGGGTCTTTCCTATATAGTCAAACTGCTGGCAGATATTCAGCTTAACAGTCAGTAGGTTATTCAGATCACACAAATCTGTAGTTCGCATAATTTCTTCATCTAGCTGATCTGTAAACACGAAAGAACACTTTTCCATCGCCCGAACTTTCGAATCCATGTTCTATTTTTCAGCAAAACGGTCCTTGCACGTTCCGCGAAAACAACAAACACCTACAGATCACAGTGGTTCTACTCTGTAATCTGTGCAAACCATAGAGTAAGTAAAATAAGCTTATTTTACTTGCTCTATGGTGCAAACAACATTGAAAACCGCTGTCAAGTGTCAAGAGTCCATCAGTCATATGTGTCATATTTTGTCAACGTAAGACGGGCCCCAAACAAGAATATCTGACGTCACACGACGAGGCAGTTGATTATCATGTACAGGGTGTTTCCTCATAAGATGACATACCCCTAGATCGTCATTTCAAAAAAAATTGTGACCAACACAAAAGTCGTTTAACTTTACTGACATTTTTTTAATTTTAATTTAATATAAAAATATAAGCCACGGAAATATCAATAGTTGGTCAGGCTTTTTTTTAATGAAACACCCTATATATTTTCAGACATACCAATCGGATGTTTCCTGATTTCAAAAATATGTATTTTGCCAATAGGTATATTAGCCGTTTTTCCTATATTACGTTTTAAAAATTATGAAAGCAACAAAACAAAGTAGCCTTGAAAGGCGACAAGGCGCTCCACCCCATAACGTTCGCCGGTAGCACTTTTTTTTAATGAAAATGTTATCTGCATTGGACGCGAGAGTCCTATACAATGGCCTCCAAATATTCCCGATATAACGCCTATTGATTCTTTTCTCTGGGCTTATTTAAAGAATATTGTGCATGTGACTAGTTATTAGACACCTTAAAATAGTGGATGCAATTAACGAGATTAATTTTAATCAGTAATTAGTAACTAATTTAAATAATAACCAATATACTCAAAACTTTAGATAAAATTGAAGTGGATTATAGCAACGACTAGCGTTAAACGGAGGTCATATACAAAAGCAGCGATTTTAATGATTTAGTTTCTATTTATTTATTTGTTTTCAAATTGAAAGTAGCAATAAATTCCGTCATGTTCTCTTTTATAGTTTTTGTTTCATTCCAGGTTTTTTTTTGTTTGCCCGGCGGCTGGAGGAATAAAAATCTTTGCGAAGACACCCAGTGTTAGTGTTGGATTCTTACCAACTAAAAAACCCCCTTTTTGGAACTACGAGTTTTCGGGAGTTATCCTTTAAACTTGTAGTCCTCTCTAACAATTTGTCAGCTCCGGCATCCGTATGCCATAGCATCGCATTCTCTCCATGCTAGCTGCTTGCTAGCATGGGCATCTTATTAATTTACACCTTACT